CATGTGCGGCGGCATAATGAGCTGGGTAACATCCAACATTATCAACCTTTGTCATATCACAGTCAATCTGTACCAAGAATACTAAACATTCAAGTCCTATAAAAAGAAAAAGTAATTACTGTAAAATGACTAATTTTCACTGGGTTTAAATTTTCGCTAATTTACCATTTCAGGCATATTCAGTGGGTTTTTAAATTCACGGTTTTATCATTTAGATAATGTGTTCTATGCTAAATTTTACATATTTACTGGGTTTTAATTTAGCGCATTTTAGCGAAATGAGCAAAATTAAAACCCAGTGAATAATTAACGCCTTTACAGTAGATCTCTGGGCAATCAATAAGTAATAAACAGCACGGCATGGGGGAATATCTGAGTAACATTAATTACCTTTTCAATATAATATTGTAAGACAGATATAGGACAAATGGATAAAAGCATAGTAATACTATAATACATGTATACTGCATAGTAGTTTTAATATAAGGTTACTAAAAAGTAAGTAACTAATATTATATTACATCTAGCATCAAAAACAATGTAATTTGCAGTATTTATAAAAAGCATTATCAGCATTCAAGGTCATTGACACTTTAACAGAAATAAAATTCTGTCACTACATGAATGTTCATAAAATGGAACTATAAACTCTCATTTAATTATTGCTTTAGACAGAAAATAGATTTAAAACAATAAGGTTATCACAAAGATACTGAAAGTATGCACTCATGCAGGCAGTTCGACCTCAGCTACACATCGCTCAATACCATCTCCATATCAAATGAATAATGCCATATTTACTTCTTCAATACCGTTATTTTTTTTTTATGTTACAGTAAATTAATCTATATATTAATTTTATCAAGATGCATTTTGCGACAAACTGTATTCAAACATGCATGCTCAACAATATTAAAAGTTATCCAGGTTGCCTCTTTAAGAGAACTGCAGGAAAATATGTAGCCGGTACTATGTAGTCGGCTATCTTGATTCTCCTGCAAAGGATTATGGGTAAAGTGTGAGATCATAGCCACTGTTATGAAAATTTAAGATTAAGCTAAATGAAAACAAAATATCAGTCTGACCTCCATGGATTGCAGCATAGTGTGATGGTCTTTTGCCTTTGTCATCACCAAGTTCTGTGTCTATACCTCTCTCTGTCATATACTCTAATATACCAGGATGGTTGCGTTCTGCTGCTAAATGTGACGGTGTTTTACCATGATTGTCACCAAGGTTTAAATCAGCACCTAACGTAGAAGATAGAAATAAGTATTACTGATAATGACAACTACAGATTCAAAACCACAACTAGATATTGGTACTATTTTATCTCTGTGAACGCCAGTGTGTTAATAAAACACCTATTAAAGCCACCATATATACTGGTACACTGTATGGTATATATATATATATATATGAGCTTATTACTTTTACCACCAGAATTTCTCATCCAAATCTTTCTGCACTTTTTTTGATGTTTCTGGAAATGAGCCAATAGACAAAAATTAAGTCAATATTTACTCAACCAATTTGGCTATTTTTCCTCTAATCTTCTGAAAAAAAAAACAGGACTATTTTGTGAATTTGTGATAAAAAAGAGGGAACTGGTGGTGAAATGCCTGAGAATGTTCAATTTGATTTCATTTTTAAAAAATGTTGTTCCCTAAAAGCCCCATCAATACCCACTCTCCTTTGCAGATTCTTCAAGCTTATGAACTGACCTAGAGAGCCACAACTAGGGGGGGGGGGTTGTTGTTCCCTGGTTACTACCTCGCTAAGTGATAAAAAAAACCATAGTCTCTGCAAAGGAGAATGATCAATACCCTGAGTTACAATGTTTTTTATATATATTTGAGAGGGCCATGTTTTATTTATTTTTTTCTCATAAAAGCCTGTGTATTAACTGCATAATATAAACATATGATTTTCTTAAAACAATATTGCTGACCCCTGTTTTTTTATTATTTCAAATATGTGTAATAGAATATCTCCCAGGGTACCACGAAGAAAAAAATTTCAATGTTTTTGTGAAACTGATGTATTGATCATCCAAAAATCAGCGAAAATAACTTATAAAGAAGTAATTCCATGTTTATTTGTGATCTATTTGATATAGCCATGAGACAATATCAAGTTGTACAATCACCGATAGCAAGCCTAGCACAGTCAACATACTTTTTTGAACCTCATGACATTACAGCAAATAAGTTACAGTTCCTGACAATTATTGTTTTGTTCTGACAGCTAGCAATGACATTTGGATGAAAATATAGCATAATTGAGATAGGCATAATCAATGACGGCTACACATAACAAGACTGTACATGTTTTAATCTGATAATCTCCACAGTAACATGGTTATATTTACAGTGCTTAGGAATGAGCTGGATGACATGACAAGGGTCAACAGAAAATTGGGTCGAGCTGAATAGGGGTTGAGAAGACAAAAAAAAAAACATCTTAACCCTAACTTAACTACCTAACTAATTTAAGTAGATGCTAACATGTTCAAGATTTGCAGCTCTTTAAGCACATTTTTTTTTAATGGCACTGCCGCTCTATGTAAACTCACTCACCTACCTTTATCAGCTAGAACGGCTAAGCATGCAGTCTCTCCATTGAAAGCTGCTAAATGTGCAGCACTCCTGCCTGTTCTATCAACTGAATTGATATCCTGGGATATAACGTATCAGTATCTGCACGATGTCGGTATGTCCACCGGTACAAGCTTCATGCAGTAAAGTCCTTCCAGCAGCATTAGTCTGCTCAGGATCTGCTCCATTCTGTAAACAAAACACTGTCAATTTTCAAAAAAGGATAGCCGCAAAAACGAAAAACTAATTAAAATGTATTGTAAATCTTAATTGTAAACAAATATTTAGTTTTGGGGATGGCTGATTTGTTAGATGAAAAATTAATAAATTGTATTATTGGTTGATTTATTAGAATGGCTTTTAGTAGAATTAAAGATGCTAATAGAAATAATATCAAAAAAGCGTGAAATGAAACACAGAAACACTCAAAGGTGTAACTAGTTTTATTTCTCACCAATAAGAAAAAACACTAAAGTGGATTGATAGCATTTGTATGAGGTTACCGGTATATTCTGTAAGGTGGTGAAATTGACGAGAAAAATAGCTAATTATTGCTTGATTAAACATTAGGTGGTTCAACTAATAGTAAGTTCCCTTAGATGAGTTTTAAATCACTAAACAAGTATGGGACTAGGAATTTATGTACTGAGCAACACATTAGCTAGAATTATAGTTAACTTCATGATGGCAAAGATTATGTGAAACATTATCAAAAGTAGGATTGATTGTTCAAATTCAGATTAAATATACATGTATACCTGAATGAGCTCCAGGACAACATCTACTTGACCATATCCACATGCTCTTTCTATTGCAGTACGGAACATAGGATTTCGTTTGAAATCAGGATCCACACTGCCATCTTGTAATACATTTTTCACTTTATTGGGATCACCTTTCTCTGCAGCCTCAACCAATGCGTAGGTATCCTCTGTGAAAACAGAATACTTGGATGAATTGGTTAAGCAGACTGGTATTATAATACATATAGCAAGTTACGAATGATGTCACAATGCAATACATCAATTTTAATTCTTCGTAAAGAAATTTGATTTGGATGTGACAAATAAAGTTAGACATTTTGCAATGAATTACATCTGGTGTTGCAGAGACTTGATGAAAACTTATCACAACATAAGTGCAATTGATTACAGAGCATCAAAGTATCACACCAATTATTTTCCACCAATTATATATATGATCAGACCACATATATTGCACTGAACATAAATGAGCATACTGTAAAATACTTTATTTTCGCTGAAGGGATGATTCAGTGAAAATAAAATCCAGTCAATATACCTTTTTTCCTATAATTTACATTAAACTTTTCAAAAATCAGTGAAAATAAATTCCATACAAAACACCCTAAAAAGTCTTTTCAGCAAAAATTAATTCCAGCTAAAATGAAGCATTTTACAGTAACTTGATCTTACAGTGGTATTTGTTGGGTTTTTGCTAATGATATAATAGTTTTAGACACAGTGGTTAATACTACATTGTTTTTATTATAATTTAACAACTTGTTTAGCTTAACTTTACTAGTTTTTGTTTAAAAATAGGCTACTGTAACATACACTTTTTATTATAAACAAAATGTCTTACTATGAAAAATTCACTTTTCTGTTTATGGGGATGGTATGTTTTTAAAATGACATCATTCCCTCTGAATAATTATATCATAGTTTTAAATTAGCCCTAGTGGAACTAACAAAAGTTACTAAATTTGTTACTTGCTGTGGACAAATTTAAATGTAATATGCGAATGGCGAAGGGTAGAGTGGAAGGTAACAAAACAACAAAAAACAAATGCACTGGAAATGTACAGCATACATCAGAGTGAGACGATGCAGCATGGACTTTATGATTTTGAAACGTAGTTTTAAAACTTGTAGTGCATACACAGCATTCCCAGTATAACCCTGCTAAACTTGTAGTGCATACACAGCATTCCCAGTATAACCCTGCTAAACTTGTATTTGTCTTAATTATAAAACCAAACAACCAATGAATCCTAGAAGACTCAATGCACTGAAAGCAACATTACCGATAAATTGAAGACAAACACTTGCAATTAAAGTGATCCAACCTCACAATCACAAACAAAGTGTATATATTGTAAGTGACCAAAGTAAGGACAGACCTAATTATGACCCTATTACAACATAGATTTATCCACATGATGGGTTTTAAGAACTCCTTCAATTTTCATTGTCCAGTAGTGAGACACTATGGCACTATTGTTCAGGCTGTACAATGGCAGCATACAATTCATGCATCCATAAGTTGTTGGCAGTAATGTAAACTACAATGTTTACTAACTCTAAACACAGTAAACTAATACATCTACAACTTTAAAGGCGTGTACTTGTATTCAACTCATCCATAAAATCGTTATACAAGTATGGCATAAAATGTAAGACAATTATAAGTGAATTCCTAAAGATAACATGAATGTGGCATATACTCCATTGATTATGTTTCAAAGCTATTTTTGTAGTCAGATCAACTTTTAATTGCATTTTCAGATTGTAACTGACACCATGTGTATAAGTGTCTGAAATCTGAAAATTGAGTTCATTGACTTGACACACAGCATTCATACGGTAAGCTAAATGGTCATCAGTATAGAATCCATTGTTTTGTACATAACATTATTCTCACTTAACATTTATTTTCACTGGAGGACTAAATTAGTTTTTTATATGATTTTGCACTAATGGAGCTCTAAACAAAAATAAATTCCAACAAAAATAAGGTATCGGGTATCCTAGTCTATTATACAATAAACAGACAGTCAAATAGAAAACTAACAGGTTTTTGTGCGGAATATATATATATTGATTTTTTTCTCTTGCGATGAAAAGAAATCAATACTATATTGTATTGTTTTCCCTCAGTCCCATGGTATACAGCTCTCACTGTACACTTTGTGAAATCTGATTATGGAGTGCAATTTTCTCATTAGGACCAATCTACAATGCAATGTGTTTGTATTTAACCCTGACAGGTTTAATATTGCTGATTTTTCACTGCTTTTAGTTTGTTATATCAACCAGTCAATTTTCCTGACAATGCAGCAATTCACCCTTTTATATACATTGCCATTAAAGAGTCTACAAATCAATCTGCAGATATACCGGTATATATATTGGTAATTGAATTGGGGGGGGGGGGTTTAGAAAACATGTCTGTTGATTGAAGGATTTTTTTTAGATACTGTAAGCAAAAATATTAAACACTTGAGTGTAGCTGTTATGAAATATTTATTTGAATCAAATTACTGACTGACCTGTCATCGACACATTCATCAATAAACTTGAATTTATATGCGCAGCAGTCGTTGATCGCGATTCCAACGCTTGATATTGTATTGAACTTGGATATGATGTAGTGCCAACATCAGCAAGATGTTTAGTTTGCGGTGACCATGTCACAGTTGCTGCCCCCTTCGCTGATGAAATAGAGGAGTTTGATTCTCTGGAGGCCTTTTCACCAAGCCTCATTTTCTTCACTCAGCGTCATAGATTGCTCACGTAGAACCCTGTTGGTTTTGGATGACACTGCAGTGTTTTCTCTGTCTGTTATTTCTAATGACTTCCATTGCGTTAGTATGTCTTTGTCACTAAACGTGTTAGTCCGTACTGCCTTGCTTTTTTGCTTTTTTACCGACATTTTGGCTGTAATATTGTACTTAACTACAGTGTTAAACAAACAGATGACCTATGGACTCAATCAATAACCATACGCTACATTACCATGACATCACAACTCAGTCGGGTAACCATGAACACTCAAGAGTCAAGCACATGCCACAAGACGTTCCACACCAGTAATTATTTTTTTTTCTTCTAGATAACAATGTAACCAAATCTTTTCAATGAGTACAGCAGTACGACACAAGTATGTATTGAGTGTAGATTGATGGCGGTGATGGTCAGAAAAGGCGTGATGCCCTTCGACCGGTCTCAAAATCACAGAGATAAGCAACGCACACAATACAAAGGTTACAGATGAAATATACACGGCATATGAGTAACTGTTTCAATACTACATGCAATCCAGCGAGGAATTTTCAGTAATTATCAGTGCAAACTCAAAACAACCAACTCTGCAGTCATAAGTTGTAGGAGTCATCTGCATGCATATCTCCCCAAGTTACTGTCAACATATGTAAGTTTCAATAGAAAGACTTCACAGGTATCTCGGGTGAAACTATTCCTGATTTATAGTGGAACAGCGGTTGACTGAATATGAGTAGCGGTTGTCATGGAATACAAAGTAACTAGACATCTGAGTAATCAACAAATGGCAAGTATGCCTTAATACCCTGCAGCTCATTCACTACATATACTATGCCTTCCAGGCTATGTCATCATTCCCAGTATGCATACAGTCTACACAGCTTCAGGCTGGATGGATCATTTTGTCAAGACAATAAACATAAATGAAGAGCGTTTCAGTAACAATAAATCCAACTCCAAAGTAGAATCTTACAGCTTGGAATCTGACAATCTTAGCAACAAAATGATTTAAGTAGAGGTTCAAAATATATTGTGTGTTTATACAGAAATTAAGGTTTGTAATAAAGGTTGAGAGAATGACTAATGATATTCAAATGACATTGCTATGTATGCATATGCACGTGTTCCTTAGCAATAGAAGCCTTTGTCAATATAAGGGAATCAACTGATAGAGAAAGGAATGTACCATTAAATGATAGGGGGGTATAACTATATGAAATAAGATGGGCAACAAATTTACTTTTAAATACCACACAAACAAGTTTTTGAATTCGACCAAAATTAAATTCATTAATTATTTTCACTTATTTTAGAACTTTTTTGACTGAATGTAGTTTAAAACAGAGATTCAGGAGAAAATAATATGGGACTCATGTTTATATAGCAGCGTCCTTAGGATGGGACATTTATTTATAGTATTTCTTATGTTTCAAACATTGCAAAGGTTGCAATGCTAGGTAAATCCATACAGATGGAAAACACCTATACTAGTCATGTTCCAATGGAAATGAAGTTCCAGTAATCCTACAGTGATCTGTCACAATGAAAGACACAGTTATTTGATTATGGGCACAAGGATAAGAACTGCACACAGGCCCTGCTGCTTTATGCCACATTTCCCCTGGATTCCACTGTTACAACTATAAATACTGAGTGCCTGGCAAGTAGACAGAAGGTACTGCTTTTTAACTACTGAGAAACGAACCCTCTTTGTTTCACTCTTCTGGGTAGGCTTACTGGCAATAATATATTACAACTGAAACATTTTGTTTTGGATGATTGATTCTACAGATTTGTAGCCACAACAGTGAACCTGAATGAAGATACACTGTGGAGATCTCAACATTGGAAGAAAGTAGCAAGCTTTAATGAAGAATTGACTGAAACACTGATGACATTGCATGGGTTAGTATTTACAAAATGCATTGTGGGTAATATATATTTGGCTCGCACTTGGACCCACTGAATCAACAGGTGGTTGTGGTTCACTACAATGCATGTAGTTACCAATAATTTTATATTGATACCTGTGGTACAAGATTTCCACATTGTATTCTATATTTACACCACTAAATAAAGGTAACATTAGTCCAGAAATTAAATCATGGTGTTTTTGTTTTTTTGATAAATGCTAAAAGGCTGAACTAGATTTAAATTCTTCTGGAATAGCAGTGATTTTACTTTGAAGTAAACTTGAACATTACAAACAAAAATTCCGTTTCCACATAAGTGAATAGAAAGGTAGTTCAACAGTAACGTTGTCAAGGTTGTTGTTTTATTGTTTATGGCTATGTGGTATAGTCACTGTTCTTTTTCACTGTGCATTCCATGTAGAAAAAATGTTTTTTTTTTTATTATTCAATTTTATTTTACTTTAATAAAATTGCCTGTTTGCATATTTTCATCCTAGTTTTGTTGTATAATTGTATGATTCTTCACAAATGGAGAGTAAATGACACAGTTTTCTCAATCAGATGTACAACTTTCACAATTTATAAAAATATCTTACAAATTTTACCTATTTCCTCTCTAGCAATGGAGCTCTAGTTTTGTTGTGGGAAGATAGGTTATGAACAAATTTATACTAACTGAAATATTGAACTTCTGATTACATTTATGAGAATTGAATAGTTCCACATCTACAATCATAATCCAGATCTAAGGTACAATCTCTAACAATGATTTAATTAAAAACTGCCATACTATAGTTGTCTGAAAATAGGTCACCAATCAAGATGAAGTAAAAAATCAATATTAGACTCAAGACTGTGGAACAATGATTACAATATCCTGTAATTTTTTTTTTTATTGACAATTGCACGGATAATTTATATATTATATTGAGTCACTTCTCCAGTGCAAATAAACTTCTAGTAAACATCAAATATACAGTAATTTGCAAGTCTGTAACGAGTTTATTCAGGTGGTTTGGACAAAATTGAAATACTAAACGTTATTTTCTTCATATTTTCAATAAATAAGTGACCATTAGAGTATATAAAATTGGAAAACAATAGACATGTGCCATGGTTACTATTTTAAATGAACGTGGTCACGAAAGGCACATGGGGATACTATAAGGATATAAATGATATTTTGTTCATATTTAATTTGAGTGTATGAATATAAAATATGTTTTCTGTATTTTATGAAAAGTATGTGAGCTTTCAAGGTAATGTTGAATGACTACAATACAGAATCAACATGTGCAGAACAAAATTGAAGCAGAAGCACGGTAAAATAACTGCCTGAAACTGTGTGTTTCTGCTGACCAGAAGTTAAATAAAATTGATTTGACACCCCCCCCCCCCTCATACACATGGTTGTTAGGCAGCCAGGAAACTACAGGAATCCCACACAAGTCTATTGTAGGGGGTCATCTAAATTTTTGTTAAGTACATTCACTCAAAACATACTCATTTAAGGCAAAATGTAAATTTGGTTTAAACTTCATTAGATAATCTTTAGACTACCTATTATGGCACTAAACAGACTTATTTTTATTAAATATATTTTTTTTTTTATATGCAACTCAAATTACAGTTTGAACTAATATATTAATTTTAGCCAGTTTGGGACACACCAATGAGGGTGGAGTAAATCTGTTATAGAAGATAAGTAATATAACAACACACAACACATCACATGCTGAAGTCTCATTCATTTTTGCTATCCATGGAGACATTCAGCAGGTGATTTGTAATGAAGTTGAACCTTATGAATACTTGTATAATAAAATGTCAAGGAAAATTAACTGCAATATATAGATGCTTTAGTCAGCCACCCATCTATCCATCCATCACTGCAATTTAAACATGTATTAAATATAAAAACAAAACAGATGACAATCAAGAAGTGTTTTTCTGATAATATTTACACATAAACAATGTCATTTATTTTATGTTTATTTCATGAAAAGTGAGGTAACAATGTATGCTTAGTCTAAAACCTTGCTATCAACCACTAGTCAAACTTTTGGTATTATTTACTATTGTAAACTAAACATGGCATGTTTTGAAATAAATTAACAGAGACCTTTCCTTTCAGGTCATTAGATGCTACACTGCACAAACTGCCACTAGAGGGCACAGTTTCACAAAATTCAATTCAGTGAGCAATATGTGTATGACACAAGACAGTAGGGTTTAGTGTTCTAGCACTCAACTAGAGAAATACTCATATGATAGAGGGGGTTTTGATGGTTTTTAATTACATTTTCCCCAATCATACTGAAATCATTTGAGGTAGAATGCTACTCCTGAGTTGTTTCACATGAGCACATATTAATTAAACACATAGCAATGAAATTATTTTGTGTCAAAATCTATCTAAAATTAATTGTTTTCGTAAAAGCCAACAGTATACAAACAAACAAATCTGTCAATTTTACGATATTGGAAATAATTGCAAAATGCTCTAAAACAAATATTCTTACTTTATTTTATTGATTGATTTTCTCTGAATTTAGTATGATGACCTCATATTTTTAATTAATCTTCATCCTTGTAAAAATAACGAAAATGACAATATTTTTACATTTGTGTAGTATTTTACCCTAATTTAAAGGGCAATGGTTATTACAACCACATGTGTTTGATATGAGTCCCATACTACACATAACAAAATGAAAAATCAAAACCACTAATACACATGTGCAGTGATTGTACATACCAAAACAACCAGTGTATGTGTATATTAAAGAATGTCATTGTTTTATTGAACGAATACTAGAATGTGTGCTACAAGTTTTTCAATCCATCGTAAATCACAGTCCAATGACTTTATCAAACAATATTAAAAATTACATTTTCTTGTCTATATTCCATTTTTAAACGAATTACTGTAATTTCAAGCATTTAAAAAAAAATTGCTTTCATGGCATTTGAATGAAACGTGAACATCTTTCAGGATAAATATTTTAGAAATATTTATAAATGTCCATAAAACAAATTATATTTTGAATTTTAGATTTATGGAATATAATACCTTTATGTGATTAAAAATGTAATCATGTGCAAACAAGGCACATATCTATTCAATGACAGGTATTCAGTTTCAGATCTGTCACAGAAAGAAAATTATCTGGAGAGTTAAATGCTTTGAAAAGCTATTATAGTGCTTCTTTTGTGTCTGATACATATCAATCTATTCACAGAAACTTGAATTGTTACAAAATAAAGACAAACTTATTTACATCTTGAATGCAAATACAAACATTAAAAGCAGTCACTCATTTAATTAAAACACCATTTTCTATTAGAGACAAAAATAGCCAGTAAACGGATTTTCTTTTACTGTCATGCCATACTGTTCTGAACACCAAAACATCAATATTACCAACTAACTTAGCTGCATGATTATAGCTGGTTAGTTCAAACCACTTTTACGAGGGTGCGTCGTTCGGCTAAAATGACACGCACCAGACACACCATCGCCTGTGTCCAAGCATTTTATATGTAATGCAGAAGACCACAAATCTGGTTACTGCAATTACTGTAATAGACGTGGGTACCATTTGCTGCAGTTTATGCGTTGTACGTTGCGGGCGACCATTAATAAAATTGTAGGGTTTGTATATAGTTCCATTGCCATAGCGTTATTTATGAGCGGAATGTTTTGTCAGGACCTAGTTTGAGTCGTGTATGGTAGTTTTATCATGCGAGACGATTCACTAGCTACGCGTCAACCACTTCGATGTAACACCTGAACTTGTTTACTAAATGTCAGACAATTAATAATTAATAAATAAATGGTGCGACTGACAGGGCTGTGAAGAACTGGTTTTAAAAAAAAAATCATTTGCTAAGGTTAGCATACTGTACCTCATATAGTTAATTCCCCTGATAACAACTAGAAATACTTTATGCACTGAAGAGAAGCATATTTGCAGTGCAAAGGGCAAAATAGTTTTTGTTTACCTTTTATTTCTCTCGCTTCGGAGGCGGCCATCTTTGTTGATGGGCTCTATGTCGCAAAACAGTCTAAACAACGCGCTGTCGCAAAATTAAAGAACAATTGGTGTAACAACGTTAACACACCTGTTAACCACTATAGAAGACGGATGGATCTATTAGAGGGTAGTTGTGGGTCCGGACCCTTTCTTGGAAAAGAAATAGTCAATTAAATACCACAACTACACGTACAATTGCACGCTAAAAGTAACATTTCACTCTTCCCCTATCAAGATTGTAGGTACACATTTCTCCTACAATAAAGAGGAGAATTATAGAAAAAATATTAATAAGGCAATGAATAATATGAAAATTGCTCTCAATTCTTGGAAGAGGAGAAAACTATCTTTATTTGGCAAGGTACAAATTATAAAGACATTTGGAATGTCTCAGTTTTCCTATCTTCTTAACTCTACTACTATTAAAAATACTACAACTAAGGTAGTTCACAAAATAATTCATAATTTTTTGTGAGATGGAGCAGACAAAATTGCCAGAAATACAATGATAGGGGGGTGGGACAGGGAGACAATAATATGTCAAATCTCTACATTATGAGGAAGGTGCATAGGATTCTATGGATTAAACGATACATGAGCCCTGGATTTGAACATCCATGGAAGTTGTTTGTGGACAAACAACTCAAGACTGTGGGTGGTAGTCTTATATTCAAATGTAATTACGAAACCAGCAAGCTGTCGGTGCGGTTAGGTGATTTTGTCTCAGAATGCTTAGAAATTTGGGAAGGGGAAACAAAACCCTATTTTGAGAATACGAATCAATGTATTTGGAATAATCGGGATATTGATAAGGGGGTAACATGATTTTCTTTGAAGACTTTGAGCAAAAAGGGATAAGTAGAGTATCAGATCTCTTCAATGGAAATCTCCTGATACCTTGGCAAACTATTGATCAAAACAATCTCTCATTACTGCAGAAATTGAAATGAA